TCATTATGAGCCGTCACGCTTTATTAGAAGCGACGTCGCTTCGAGAAACATAGCAACCCTCAAACAACACGTGGCGCTAGTCCCAATGGGCGGAAACGAAGAGCCACAACCCTTCATCCGACCACCCAAACTCGGTATAAACCCCCTCACCTCGGGGCACCCAGAGCCCGAGAACCAGTGCATCATCAACATCGACATCCAGCATAAGCTCTTCGCCCCAAAGAGCTCAGAGGTTGGGGAGCTAGTATACTATCCACATTGGATACTAAGGCCCGCCTCGGTGCTCATTCGCCCAACAATATCGGCTAAGCAAGCGGGCCACCAACCTTATTGGGTTGCAACTGGCCCAATTCTCACCCAAGAGAGAAAATTCCTAATTTGCATCAAGGTATGCACATTATATATACGAGACCCACACATTTACAAGGACTAACTTAAGCATCGGAGTCTCTTTTGCAGGTACCACCCCCATCTCGGAGCAACCGACGTGCCAGGCAGAGGAGGCTCACCAATCTCATCAGAAAAGTCATCCCTAGACCAATCTCAGGTGAGAGCAGGTTCTATGTTAATGGGTTCCGCGTGTTGTTCTTGATGAGTTGGATGGTGTTCAATAATATCATGTTTATTATTTTAAATATTAAACAACTTTATTGCATTCAAAGGTGATTTCTTTATTTCTTCAAATTCTACTTGTTGAGTGTTTCCACTCCCGCTAACTTCATGATCTTAAAAACAAAAAAAAAAACTTTGCATTTATAGCTTCAACTATTTTAGGAGTGTGAAAAGGACAATAAAACTTATTTGTATATCTAATAAAACATCCACTAATGGCTTTTGAATCCAATTTCCCAATGTTTAAATTATAAACCCTTACTTCAATTGGACAACCTCATATGTGTAAATGTCTTAAACTAGGTTTCCATTCATACCAAATTTCAAAGGGTGTTTATGGAACACCCTTAAACGGTAACCTATCTAATATATACACAATTATCTTTAAAGTTTCACTCCATAAAGGGGTAATGCCTTTGTGATGCTAATCATGCTTCTAACCATTTCTATAAGTGTGCAATTTCATTTCTCGGCAACACCATTAATTTGTTGTGGGTGTACTTGCCATAGTATATTGGGCAATACTACCCTCCCATTGAAAAAACTTTGTAAATGTACTAAATTGTCCCTTTTATGTGTACCTGCCACAATATTCCCCACCTCTACTAGATCATATGATCTTTATTTTCTTTTCCTTTTATTTCTCTACTTTGACTTTGAAAAACTTTAAAAGCATCAAGTGCTTTAGATTTTTCATATAAAAGATAGAGATAGATAAATCTTGAGTGGCCATTGATAAATGAAATAAAATATTTCTAACCATTTAAATAAGGTGCGAGAAAAGGCCCACAAATATCTATATGAATAATTTTAAAAACACCCTTTGAAATTTCATATTCTTTTTTGTTTTAGTGTATTTTTGATATACTGCAGATGATTGGTGTGGATTGAGGTACTAACCTAGTTAGGATCTATTTTCTACAATGTGATGCCTTAGCATATCTAACTTTTTAAAAATAAATTCAAAAAGCTCGCTACTTCTTTTGGCACAATTATTAGTCTTATTAGTATGTTTTCCCTTTATGCATTCTACACAAATACTAATATCAATGATGTCAATATTCTTAAGAATTTCTTCCTTAACTAATCTCTTAATCCTTTCATGAGAAATGTGTCTCAAACACTTAATTATGCCAAAGCATGGATAAGTTTTCATCAACAATACTTTGCTTAGTACCAATGACGGTATGTAAGGTTTTGAGGCATGTTTCAAGAACATGGCCTAATGAAAACTTAAATAAATTTTCAACTAAAAAAATATTACCCACAACTTTATTGCCTTTAATCAATTCAAATGAAATATCGCAAAAAAGAAAAGAAAAACCAATATATGTAAGCCATGAAATAGAAACCAAGTTTCTAGAAAAAGACAAAACATATAAAATGTTTTTGAATAACAAAGAAAAACTATAATTCAATACAAGTTTAATTATAAGTCTCTATAGCCTCCACATATGAACTCATCCAATTTCTCGCATACATGCTTTGCTGACTTCCCATTAGGAATGACAAATATACTCGTACCCGTGGGTAATACCCGAACCCGTCCCGACTTTGACGGGAAATACCCGGTTTGACCAGGTACGGGTAAAACCCGATATATTAAATCGGGACGGGTACGGGTACGGGTATGTACTTACCTGCCCTGTACCCGTACCCGTCCCAGTTCCTATTTTTAATTTAATACTCACTTTTAATTTAATTATATTAAAGAATTTTAATATTTTTTTTATGTATGATTATTTATTATAATATGAGATAGAGAAATAACCTAATTATAATTATAATATAATTAAAAAAAATAATTTAAAAATATTATATTTAAAAATAATAATAATAAATAAAAAATTTGACGGGTACGGGTACGGGTATACCCGATACCCGACGGGAACGGGGATGGAGATGAAAATCACATACCCGACGGATACAGATACGGGGACGGAGATAGGTTGGGCTCGCGGGAACGGAGACGGGTATCATGAAACCCGTACCCGCCCCGCCCCGTTGCCATCCCTACTTTCCACTGGATTTTGCAAGTTTAAAAGTCCTGCACATTATTAGCAGTGTAAATAGTAGAATCCGAATCAATCCACCAAGTATTGTTAAGAGCTTCAATAAAATTTGATTCAAAACAATGTAAAATTACCTTTCTTTTGAAGCCACATCTTATATTTAAGAAAACTTTCTTCATGTGTCCTACCTAATTTGCAAAAAAAAAAAATCAATTTTCTCCCATTTTGCTTCATCCGGGTCTTGCAGACTCTAAGAATATCATTTCCTCTTTTTACATTCCCTTTATCATGAGTTAACATATGAACACTTTCAAGTAGCTCATGCTTCAATCTTTCTTCCTTTTGTATAGATATAGTCAAAAGTTCATTGATAAACTATTTGTCTTTCTTTGTGTGTTATAAAAAAATTTAAATGGACAATATTTTCATAGGAAGTGAGTTAAGAATGAAATGAACAACAAATTGATTCAAGAATTTCAATTTCATATACCCACTTGTAGGGATAAATGATTCGTCCACACGAAGTGTCAAATCTAATTCCATATACCCCAATGTTAAAAGAATATGTTCTTTTCTTGTCCCAATATTGTTTGGGGACTTTGTTTTAAATTGATTTATACAAATCTTAGTCACAAATGCATTGAAGTGGGATCCACATGTCACATAAAAGCTTGTGCTTGTACCTAAATTAATTATTTTTGGATGAAAATATCATAATTAAAGCTAATTGACCCAAAAAATTAAATTGTATGTAACATAAAAAATAAAAAAAGTATTTACTCTATTAATATATCTTTGTTTAACTAAATTAAATTATTAACATTTTTTTAAATATATTATTAATATAAAATATCTATTAACTTTGTTGACGATCAGAAAATCTGACTGACTATTTAGTAGAAATCTCATTTTCTAATCATGTTTTTTTAGAGTTGGATTGAAGACTTTATTTGAAAGAGATTGAGTTTATTTTCACTCAAATCAATGACTAATATCAATTATATATACTAACGTAGTATAATATATACCAAAATAGTCTAAATTACTTTTTTAATCTTTTATTTTATTTAACTAATTCAATTTGATTTCTTTATAATTTAAAGGTTCGATGTCTTATTGAATATTTTTGTTTAATTGAGACCGATGAGACTAATTTCTTATACACGTTATAATATATATATAAAAAAAATTAGTCATTAATTTTAATTGGATCATTAGTAACTGATTTATGAATTGATAAATACTGTGATAAAAAAAAATATAAACTAGTAAGTTTAGTGACGAAATTTGTATCGATAGATATTGATTTTTTATTTTAACAAAATAACGTATTAATTTAGTAATCATATTTCTGGTTCATGTATATTAACAGTTTAATTTTTAATAAACAAATATAATTCTAATTGAGGTAAGTATATGACATTTTTTTTATTTATAAAACAAGTATTCTAAAGTTAAAAGTGGTGAGTATATTCGTATGTTGGTTCTGTATACACGGTTTATCATCTAGATATAAGAATCTTTTGCCTAATTTTGTTAATCATTCATGCATTGTGGATAGTATAAATTTACAAAATTTAAAAGATACATTTTATATAATGACCAAAATATTTGAGTTTCCTCGTATATTACATAAGAATTAATAGACTTAATCGCAATAAGTAAAATGAAGAGAAGACTAGGATCATTATGATATTTGAAAGAAAACTTAATTGAACAGGGTGGATATTATAATTTGAACGAAGGGACGACAATTATAATTTGTGTGATCAAATGTACGGATAATTTGAAAATTAAAATAGTATTTTTATGGTAAATTTCTCTACAGAATTGCATAAAAGAATTAGGATTCATAAAAAAAAAAGTACTGAGCCGCAATGCACACATAGATGAAATATTTAGCACCACTTTGCTTCTTATTAATTATTTAAATACTGCATGCTTCATATGCATGTGGCACTTAACTTTAAGCTTCAAATAATATTGATTAATACAAGCATATCAAGACAATTTTTTTTTTTTATCACATTAACCCCATTTCCTCATTATTTTTTTTAACGATAATAAAATACTTATACATATATTTCACGTTCTTTTCCCTTTTTTTTGCCTTGTATAACTATTGGCATAAAGTATTAATAAATGTTACACATATAACATTTCCACATATAAAAGATATGTATATTTAGTTTTTTTTTTTAATTAAATATCGAGTATGATTCTAATTTTAAACATAGAATCATGATGAAAGATATCACTTTATCTTTATAAAAGTCGAGTCCTAGAAGAAGTTATATTTACTTATTTCTTTTTAATAAAAGATGTGTATAGTGATTGATTTGGGACATGGGTGAAGGAAAGACAGATATTATATTATCATGCACCATCTTTGAGGTTCCTGTAAATTGGAAAGGGCACTTGCCCCGTCTCAATACGCCTGATGTCCTCCACAAGGATATCATAGTGCCTCTTCACTTCCTCAGGAGTTTTTCCACCAACAGCCCTTGCAATGTTGCACCAACGGTTTGGGGTGTCTTTGTCATAAACAGCTAGAGCATTTTCAAAGGCTTTGTTTTCCTGAGCAGTCCATGAACTAGAGGAAGAAGACATTGTATTCAAACTGGGAAAGGAAAATAAACTAAGCAAATGGTGAGCGTTGAATTGAATATGGTGACACTTCCCTTCTCCTTTTATAAGCACAACATGATGTGCCAGTTTTCATGAAAGCCATACAATAGATGAGGGACCAACAATAAGACTAGCTAGTAGATTCGAGAATCGGTATCTTCAACAAGTAACTCCAATGAAATCATCACAATGAAAGTTACCAAAGCTTACTTCCACAGGGTGGTATCAAATTCAAAATCCACTTTTTCAAATGTCGAATCATGTACTACTTAATTATATGCGAAACAAATTATATGAGATTTTTCTAATTTAATCAATATTAGAGATCTCACGTCGATGATTCATCATAATATATATAAGTGAATAATAAATTTTACTTTACAAACTGATTTTGTAAAATTGAATTTGAGTCAATCCACTTTCTTATAATATCAAAATTTATTCTTATTATTATTATTGGATCACTATTGAAACAGTTAAAATGTTTAGTCTTACAAATTTATGTCCAAGATATTCAGTCTTTTATACGAGGGAGATTCAAAATCACAAATAAATAGATTACGATCCTCAATTTATAAATTAATTTTTTAGTATTGAGTTAGGTTGAATCCATAATTAACATTGGACATATATACCCACTGAATCCGAATCAAATGCAAGTAGTACTTCTCACGGGTGCATCATATATATAATGGTATTTGATTATAGTTTCTTAAAAATTGCATACATTATCCGTTAAGCATGCATCACAAGGAGATTTATTTGTGTGGTTAGTTAGTTAGTTAGGAAGATAGTAATAGTGATATAAACATTAGTATATTCGTAATCATTTATCATCTTTTATAATATCAATCAATTTAATGAGATATTTTCATGGAAATCCTCCTATATTCTTTGAACTCTGATATTTGGCCTCATCAACTTGAGATCACTGGCATCTCTTCTCAGTTTTGTGACAATCTTGTCAAGGCAAATTCTGAAAAGGAAGTGTGACCACAACCCAATATTCTGGACCATTAGATTCACAAGTGCTCCTCATCATGCAGTTTCCTCCTCTAGTTCTCTTATTTTGGTTGGTCAGACAGTGTACTATGTATGTCCTGATTCCTCATCATCCTTACCGAATCAATCCTACATGGCTTTGTGTGTCCATATATGTAGGGTTTATAAATTATAGTTTACACCCATCTTGATAGATTTAATTTTTCATTTCTTATTAGAGTATTATTAAGAGGGCATTTAAAATAGTGTCCAGGACTCATGTATTGTATTTTTTTCAAAACCAAAACAGTTGCAATTGCCTATATTTTCCAAGATTTCGCATTTCTATATGTTTTGTTTTTTTAAAATTGTACTAGCAGGGTTATTCGGCCACCTGGCTCGGCCACTCGGCCACCTGATAGCCGACACCCAATTGGCACCCGAGTGGTCGAACCAGGTGGCCGATTAGCTACCAAATGATCCATAGATCCGGATCCCCACTGATAGAGTTAAGGACTCCCCCTAATTAAGGATTAAGAGTTAATCATATCAATAAGCCGATTAGAGGCGTATTACCTAATCTGGTAATCCTGTTACAGGGCCCATGGGAATCCAGGCCCATAAATGTCAGTATAAATAGCTCATGTCACGAGGTAACGTCACTGTTCATTAATTACTATCGATACTTGTGCTTTGTCCTGACTTGAGCGTCAGAGTGCCTTTTGCAGGTACTTCCCCCTCACCGGAATATTCGATCGGAGCTCTCGTTCGGCTCTCAGAATACGAGAAGATTACTAGTGTGCCCTTCAGACAGGTACAAAAATTTTACAGTTTACAGAACTAGCTGTTGGATGTTATACTTATAAGGGTGTGACTTGTTGGAGATTCATGACGTATAACATCCATATATCTTCTCCATATGATTAGCATAGTCTCCTTATGACTAGGCAACAACTAGTTCTAGCTAGTTGATGCTGGATCTATGCTTTGCTTTTGACAAGCATAGCTAATATTCGTTTGGATTTTATTTAGAAAAGGACATTTTACGACTAATTTCTAAATATCTGTATTTGGAAATGAGGCCAACCCAAGTATTACAAGATTGAGTAATGAATTCTTTACACAAATAAATAAAACACTTCATTGACACTATAATTTTTTTATTATCTCTTTTCTTCTCACATTTCTTAAATCATATTATATAATTATTATTTTTCTTATCTCTCTCAAGATAGATACATTTGAGTGTTCAAATATTTTTTTTTTTCTGCAAGATTCTTAGACGGTGACACCTTTGGAATAGCAACTTGGAGAAATTGGCTAACCCTATGGGACTGTCTTTGCTAATATCTTGGAAGTAAAATTCAAATATATACTCCTGCCATTAAAAAAGAGAGAGTATAAACTAACGAAAATTGGGAAAGTTATACAGAATATGGAGAGAAAATAATTGGTTCACCACTCTTTCGTATACAAGATGGGAAATAATCGATCCCTATATATTAAATACGAATATATATTTTACACGAGAATTTTAAGATTTTTTTTGTGTGAGAGGATTTGTAAGATTTTTTTTACTTCTTGTTTAATTTGATTTTTATTTATGATAATTATTTATTAATTAATTATTAATATTTTAAATTAAATTATTAATAAATAAAAAATATATTTTGTTGACCCTCTAGAGGTCCAATGGCCATCATATGGCCTTCTACCCAACTACACACCTCTAACAATCATGGACCCTCCGGATAAACACCAACCATTGGTGAATCAGTCAACTACACAATTGCAACCTACCCATGAGATTGATGGAAGAAAAAGAAGAACGTGCTCAAACTGAAATATAGATTCTTAAGAGGCAATGTCAAAGGAAGGACATGGAAATTGAACATTTAAAAAATGAATGTGCTGATGCTTATGAAAGTTCAACTCATGTGAAAAAAGTAAAGAGAATGGCAGAAAAAGAGACAGAAATCCTTTTGAAAAATATGGGAAAAAAGATTGAAGCAATGAAAAACGAGATGGCAAAAATCCAAGAAAAAAAAAGAGCGTTCAGAGTTAAGGGATCATGAGAAAGAACAAAAAATATAACGCATGCAAGAGGAGCTAACAGATGCACACTAAGAAGTAGGAATGTGGCTATAGAATACTCTGAGTCACTCAAGATGGCTAGTCAGAATGAAGAGCAATGGTTGAGAAGAATTGATGATTTAAAATTGGAGCAGGACCAGCTAAAATCTGATGTCAATGGGTTACATTTAATTGCAGAACACCATCGTGAAAAGGCAAAAGAGTGGATGAAGACATGTGAAGATATGATTAATGCTGTCCAAAAACAAACAGAAAGCTTAAAGACGCATGTGCACGAAGTAAATGAAGAGATCAACTCAAATCCTGAATTAAAGCTTCCTTGGAAGATCTTTAAGCTCATGAAATATTGTCAAAATTTAGCTAGGAGTCTCGTGTAAAATGAGATAGTACAATTATTGTAACTCATTTTGATGCAGAATATAATAATAGCACATTTGACTTGATATATAACTTGTTTTAGACATCATTTATTGAAGAGAATTCTCCCTTGAATGATTGTTAATCACAATTTTAGCTTGAGATGATATCCTTGTTTGAAAATGTGGGTCGTACTGTTGCATTGCTAGTAAAATGAACTTATCCATTGAGGAGTGAATGCTCCCTTGAAATAAGTGTCAACCGTTGTATGACCTAAGGGGTTTTTGCCTCTAGCGTTGAGATGTGGGGAATCGCTTTTCAATTTGAATACAAAATCAATCTTTTCCAAAATTTGTTTCTTCTTCCTTTTCTTTTATACTCATAAATTCACTTTGTATTCAGAAAGTAATAAAGCAAAAAAACTAAGTGTTTCCTCGGCACCGTTATAGAACACGCTCTCAAGCCAAGATCATGGATGAGATGGAGGAACGCAACGAAGAACTGAGAAATGATATCAATCAATTGAAGGAACAAATGGCCCAAATTCTAGAGATGATGCAATCTATACAAGTGAAAAATGTAGAAGAGACCCCTCCAATAATCAAAGGAGAATCGTCAACTTCTCCTGCGTATCCACCTGGTTTTACCCCAATCCTATCACAACCATTAACTCTACATCTTAATAGACCTGGCCAACATGTTGACCCTCTAGAGGTCCAATGGCCATCATATGGCCTTCTACCCAACTACACACCTCTAACAATCATGGACCCTCCGGATAAACACCAACCATTGGTGAATCAGTCAACTACACAATTGCAACCTACCCAACCTGAAGTTTCACCCATGAATGTTGCCTCTTATAATACAAATTATTTATCATAAATTTAAAATATTATTTATACGTTTAAAATATTTGTGTATACTTATTTTAAATATAACTTATATATTCAAATATAGTATGCTCATATATAATTTATTATAAATTTTAATTATATCATATATAATAAATATGTCTATGCATTACATAGGCTAAAATACTAGTAAAACAAGTAAAGAAAAATGTTATCTGCAATTTTTTTTCTAATACTTTATTCTAACATTATGTTATTAGTTAAAACTTATCAAAAATGGCACATTTTAGTGAGTTTGTGTAGGCCATTTACGAAAAAAGAGGGGAAAAACACTAATGATAGGTTGAAGAAAAGGAAAAAAAAGGGTTCTACTTCTTTATTATGAAAGAATGTTGTTTAAAAATCTACAAAGGAGCACTCTCAACATTTGGGGAAAGCAATGTTCTATTATGTCATATATACATCAATTGTGTTTATGTAGTCTTGATGATTAAGATGAACTAGAATAAAAATATTGTGTTCTTTTCTCTTAACTCTTCGTCTACACTCATAAGACTTTAGATACCACTTCATTGTTTTGAAAAAAGTATTGAGTTTTTGATTGATACTATTCAACTCCTCCTTTTTAATGTTATTTTGTTCTCCACAATTTGGTATCATAGCTCAATCTTTGACAGGATTGGACATCTATAACCTTGTTAAAGGAAAAGATCTTAGGATGGAAATTAGTGAAAGTTAGTACCTATCTGAAAGAATTTCTCTTATAAGGCCACCAACCTTTAATGGAAAAGATTACCCACATTGTAAAGACAAGATGGAGATGTTCATCAAGTCCACCCAATATCATCTCTAGAAGATCATCACAGATGGTGATTTTCTAGTAACTAAGGTAGAAAGTAAGTACACGTAGGATGACTACAACATCTTGTAGTTTAACACAAAGGCAAGATACATCTTGGCTTGCTTTTTGTCAAGAAAAGGGTACAACAAGTTCTATAGTTGCTAGACTACTAAGGAAATGTGAAGAGCCATTAGGATAACTCATAAAGGCATTGAAGATGTAAGACTTAGAAAAGTTGTTACTCTATAGAGACATTATAAGTTGTTCTTTATGAAGGAGAATGAAACCATTGATGAGATGTTTGAAAGGTTTCAAAATTATTCTAAATGGGTAAAATCGTTGGGAATTGAGTTCTCCAAAGCTTAGAACAATCTCAAGATCTTAGATAGTCTTTTAAAGATCTAAGAGCTAAAGGTCATTATTATATCAAAGGGTCTTGACCTTAAAAGTCTTACACTTGATGAACTCTTAGGAACCTTGATATTGGCCGAGCCGATAACGGTGTCCGAGCTGAGATGGTGTCTGAGCTGCGTCAATGTGGGATTGGACATGACGTGCCGGTCCACGTGGCCGGTCCACGTGGCCGATCCACGTGGCCGATAGGACCCTTAAACTTTCAAAAGAAATATGGACAGATTCTAGATTTGCTATTGATCTCAATAGAAAATATGCTAAGTGCATTAGCCCAATATTGGAATTCAGATTTTAGATGCTTTGAGTTGCCTCATATGGATTTGGTTCCCACAATTGAAGAATATGAGATGATACTAAGGTTACCCCTCAAAGAAGAAACTGATATTTATCTATATAAAGGGAACTGTGTATCATGAGGGAAAATTGCTGGTTTAATTGGCTTGTTATCACAACAAACCGAATTGGTGAGCAAAGGCGCGACTCAAGGATGGAATAAAGATCTTCTGGAGGATCATATGAAATCTCTAGCCGAGAAAGGTGATTGGGAACATTTCAACAAGACTCTAGCTCTACTTATTTATGGGTTAATTTTTTTCCCATTCACAATGGGCTTAATCGATCAAGCAGCTATGGATGTGTTCTTCTCTTACGAAACGCAAAAAAAGAATCTCGTTCCAGCCATTCTTACAGATAGTCTCCTCTCTCTAGAAGTATGTCATCAAAAGAAAAGAGGAATGCTATGATGTTGTAATCATTTACTATATGTTTGGATCATGACTCATTTATATGCTTCCAATCATATGGGATATATGCCAGACCCTCTAAAAAGTTTCCATCGTATTCCAGTGAAGAAATTAGAAGCAGCAGAGTGGAAAAAAGATCTTTTGACATTCGAAGTAGAGCACTTTACATGGGTATGCCCTTGGTACCATCCCAAAAATACAATCTTTAGTTGTGGGAGTTTCTTGAATGTTCCATTAATGGGGTCCGGAGGATGTGTAGCATACACCCTAACAATCGCTCGTAGACAACTCAAAAATGGACTCAATTTGTGCCTTAGAGCGAAGAGTTAGGAGGTTTGAGCTTTCAATATGCTTTAGATAATGTGAGGCAACAGGCAAAAGTTAGAGCTGCTTGGGAGAAGGTTAAAAAGAAAGGGGAAGCAGAGCTCGGAAAACCTCATGTGACAGCCTCTTCAGAATGGAGAAAGGCTAGAAGAATTTCCATCCCAATTCTCAAAGAAGTCCAACATGAAGAGAGTCAATCTCATGAAACCAACCAAGCATTGGCTTCTTTAACCTCTCAATTAGAAGTCATTAAAGCATAAATGAGATTGATGGAAGAAAAAGAAGAACGTGCTCAAACTGAAATATAGATTCTTAAGAGGCAATGTCAAAGGAAGGACATGGAAATTGAACATTTAAAAAATGAATGTGCTGATGCTTATGAAAGTTCAACTCATGTGAAAAAAGTAAAGAGAATGGCAGAAAAAGAGACAGAAATCCTTTTGAAAAATATGGGAAAAAAGATTGAAGCAATGAAAAACGAGATGGCAAAAATCCAAGAAAAAAAAAGAGCGTTCAGAGTTAAGGGATCATGAGAAAGAACAAAAAATATAACGCATGCAAGAGGAGCTAACAGATGCACACTAAGAAGTAGGAATGTGGCTATAGAATACTCTGAGTCACTCAAGATGGCTAGTCAGAATGAAGAGCAATGGTTGAGAAGAATTGATGATTTAAAATTGGAGCAGGACCAGCTAAAATCTGATGTCAATGGGTTACATTTAATTGCAGAACACCATCGTGAAAAGGCAAAAGAGTGGATGAAGACATGTGAAGATATGATTAATGCTGTCCAAAAACAAACAGAAAGCTTAAAGACGCATGTGCACGAAGTAAATGAAGAGATCAACTCAAATCCTGAATTAAAGCTTCCTTGGAAGATCTTTAAGCTCATGAAATATTGTCAAAATTTAGCTAGGAGTCTCGTGTAAAATGAGATAGTACAATTATTGTAACTCATTTTGATGCAGAATATAATAATAGCACATTTGACTTGATATATAACTTGTTTTAGACATCATTTATTGAAGAGAATTCTCCCTTGAATGATTGTTAATCACAATTTTAGCTTGAGATGATATCCTTGTTTGAAAATGTGGGTCGTACTGTTGCATTGCTAGTAAAATGAACTTATCCATTGAGGAGTGAATGCTCCCTTGAAATAAGTGTCAACCGTTGTATGACCTAAGGGGTTTTTGCCTCTAGCGTTGAGATGTGGGGAATCGCTTTTCAATTTGAATACAAAATCAATCTTTTCCAAAATTTGTTTCTTCTTCCTTTTCTTTTATACTCATAAATTCACTTTGTATTCAGAAAGTAATAAAGCAAAAAAACTAAGTGTTTCCTCGGCACCGTTATAGAACACGCTCTCAAGCCAAGATCATGGATGAGATGGAGGAACGCAACGAAGAACTGAGAAATGATATCAATCAATTGAAGGAACAAATGGCCCAAATTCTAGAGATGATGCAATCTATACAAGTGAAAAATGTAGAAGAGACCCCTCCAATAATCAAAGGAGAATCGTCAACTTCTCCTGCGTATCCACCTGGTTTTACCCCAATCCTATCACAACCATTAACTCTACATCTTAATAGACCTGGCCAACATGTTGACCCTCTAGAGGTCCAATGGCCATCATATGGCCTTCTACCCAACTACACACCTCTAACAATCATGGACCCTCCGGATAAACACCAACCATTGGTGAATCAGTCAACTACACAATTGCAACCTACCCAACCTGAAGTTTCACCCATGAATGTTGCCTCTTACAAACATCAAGTTCCCTACCAACCCCAAAATTCTAACCAAGGGAATCCTCACCAAACTTTTGGGGGATATAAACCAATCTCTGGAATTGAGCAGGTTCAGTCTAGTGAGAAGGTTGCTAAATTGGTCGCTAAATAAAATTTGCAACCAAATCAAGTTTCGGTCGCTAATTATGTCGTTATTAGCGACGGAAAAAAATCGGTCGCTAATTTCGGTGGCTAAATTGACTTTTTTTTGTAGTGATAGTTCATGAAGTTCAACTGAACAACATGGATCTTCTGAAAGTTAATGATTCAATTGTTTTAAGGATTGGTGAAACCAACAAGAAGAGGGATAAAAGTAAAGTTATGAAGGTTGAGTCTGAGCTCAACAACTCAAATGAAAGTTCTAAGAACTATACAGATGAGGAGATGTCTCTCATATCCAAGAAGTTTAAGAACATGCTTACAAATAAAGGAAGAAAGGAAGATTGAGGAGCTTACACAAGTTAAAACTTCTTTCAAGTCTAAGCAAATTGTTTCATTTCTCGACCTTTGGAACTTTTGCGCATAGATTTATTTGGTCCAACTAGAACTCTAAGTCTAGGGGGTAAGAAATATGGTTTTGTCATTATAGATGTTCTAGATATACATAGGTATACTTCTTAACTAACAAACACAAGTCATTTAAGGTATTTGAAATATTCTTTAAGAAGATTCAAAATGAATTTTTTTTTTGCATAATTACACATAATTGAATTTGAAAACTTAGGTTTCAAATTATTTTGCAAAAAGAATAGTATCTTTCATAACTTCTTTTCACTAAAAATACATCAACAAAATGTAGTAATTGAAAGAAAGAGTTGAACTTTAGAAGATATGGCTAGAATCCTAAACCCTAAACTTTACAAGATATGACTAGAACATTTCTTTGTAAAAACTCTACCAAAACACTTCTAGGTAGAAGTAGTAAACACTATATGCTATATTCAAAATAGAATATTAATAAGAAAATATTAAATAAGACTCTCTATTAATTGTGTTGGGAGAAAAGATCTAACATATTATATTTTCATCCATTTGGATATGATCATTATATCTTTAACACTAATGATTAACTTGGAAAGTACAAACATTTGAAACTTAATGTGAGTTAAATTGCTCCTTTATAAAAATATTGTAATTAATTAAAAACAATAATCCTTTATGTACAACACAAATACACAATATTAAGAAGAAAAAAAAAAAAATATATATATATATATATATATATATATATATAAATAGAATTGAACTAAAACTCTATAAGAGTGTTGACGTTGTGCTCTGAAAATTGATTTCCATCGATATTAAAAAAATGTTTTAGCCGTAAAAATTATATCTTGTGGATGTAGATTAGTTTTGAAATATTACCTAGTGAAAACCATGTTCTTAAATAAGAAAAAAATAAAATGCTACTAGTAGTTTTGTGATTGAAGGAGTCCAAAAATTAATTAGGGTGGCTGAAAGGGTTGTCGGTATCGATGATGGTCAAGAGATTCATGTGAATGCAAGAATATGACCAATGGAAAAAGGCATCGCGGCAATTGCTTTTGTGCCAGTCAGTATCTAACACCAAACGAAGTTTCTTCGTCTTTATATTATATTCAAACGGAGAAATTAAATGTTATCCCCAGACGAAAACACAAATTCAACACACATTTTTCCAGAAATATATATATATATTTTATCAGTGAGAACAATACAATATGAAAACTCAAATTTATTTTATTACCAAAA